TATCAATAATCTCCATTTAATGTTTTCTAAAATATTTAGTACTTATAATAATAGGGATAAGTATACCAACCTTCAAATATTTTCAGGAAATTTTTTATCTGTTTAGGTCTTAAAATACATAAGCATTATTTTATTCCTATTCTTATTGATCACTTTCAATTTTTATCAAAAAGCTCCTGAAAGAAACAAGCTTATACAATACTACCAGGTTTTTCAAAAGGAATGTAAAATTTCCTAACCATGCAATTGTATATAGAATTTAAGCAAATAACATACGTATAATGCCACTCTTCCGCACATAAGAATAGTTATCATCCACAAAGCATCGTAACTTCCTTCCCTTTAAGCTTCTCCTCTCCTTTATTACCCAACCCCCTTCACTACTTTCTTCATCAAACTACTAAGTTGTCTGGTAAAAAATTGGACCACAGACAAAACAACAAGTCTGACATTATCTGTAATTATAAACATCCTATAAATTATTTCTGATTCAAAAGACGATTTGAAAAAGACGATTCTAACACCTAAGGATTCAAATTGTTTGGATTACAAAAAGGTTTCTGGGAGTTTTGTGTGTGCATGAGTGTGGATTTTAGTTTCATTTTACTTTTCATGTAAATCACACAGACTTTAAACCAAGTACTAGCCTTCATCCCAGTGGTGGTGGTGGTTGTATGCCACCATCAGTTCTGACTCACAGCGATCCTGTACAGGGTTTCTGAGGCTACAAATCTTTACTGGAGCAGAAAGGCTCACCTTTCTCCTTCAGTTGTTGTTTGTTGTTAGGTATATCTGAACTGCTGGCCTTAAGGTTAGCAGTCCAGCTCATAATTCACTATGCTACCAGGACTCCTGTTTATTCCAGTACTGTTACTAGATTTCAAATCATGGTAACTGGCACAAAACAATGTCAATAAAAATTTGTAGACTGTTAAATATATAATATGCATTCTAAGAATGTGGGCTATCTATCAGTTCAGAATGATTGTGTGGGATTAACCTTTGCAAAAATAAAACAAAATATATCATATCTAAGCTCATTTAAACCTATATAGAACTACTTTTATAAATAAAAGCAGCAGCCTTCAGACACCAAAAAAATACAAAGTAAAATCATAAACTTTCTTATAATTCAGTAATGAAATCTAATAATTATATAACTAAGTATTATAGGGCACCATGCAAGACAGACTATATAAATGACACATTAACTACTTTGTATGTTTAAGTATATGTGCAAATAGTTAAAAATAAATTGAGCTTAATGTAATAAAAGATAGTATAAATTATTTCTTACAGATAATTATGGATTACTATGGTTAATGAAAGAGTCCTGGTGGGGCGCTGTGGGTCAGTGCACCAGACTGAAAAGCCTTTTGAACTACAAGATTGGCAGTTCAAGCTCACTAGCTGCTCCTCGGAAACCCTATACAGGGTTGCTATAGGTCAGACCCGAATCAATGGCAAACAACAACAACCTGGTTAACGAAATGGATGTGCTCTACTGCTAACGGTAAGACTGGCAGTTCAAACCCAAGTCGCTCTGCAAGAGAAAAATTACAGCCTTGGAAACCCAATGGGCCATACTACTCTGTCCTATAGGGTAGTTATGAGTAGGAATAAACTTTTCAGTACTGGGTTAATGATAATGAATGAAAAATACCAAGGATAATTAAAATAAACCTTTTATTCATTTAATTAAAAAATCTATTTAACCACCTGCCAGAGCTAAAAAACAAAACACATATACCATCTTAATCTAATTCATAAAGAAATTAAGTATTAAAATTTGTTTCTCTAGATAATCAAATCTATTCACCATTTTGGTGGTGCTGGTGGTGATTATGTGGCATGGAGTCGGTTCCAATTCATAGCGACCCTGTATAGGGTTTCCAAGGCTGGAAATCTTTATGGGAGCGGAAAGCCTCATCTACTCACCGTTTTTAGCATCTTAAACTTGAAATTAATTTACTAAGACATAAACATACTACTCTCCTTTTTAAGCAGCATGAATCACTTAAGAAAGACTCAAAGCAAGAATGTAAACAGGTATGTGCACCAAGGTTCATTGCAGTACTGTTAACAATAATAAAAAGGTGAAACAATGGAAATGCCCAAAAACAGACAAATGGATAAACACATTCTGGTACATACAAACTATGAAATATTACGCAGCCAGGAAGAGAAATGAAGTTCTGCTACATACTACCACATGGATGAATCTTAAAAAGATTATGTTGAGGGAAATAAGCCACCTACAAAAGAACAAGTATGATTAAATTTATATAAAATACCTAGCATAAGTAAATATACAAATATCAAAGTTTATTAGTGGTTACCAGAGGCGGATAGAGGCGGGAAAGAGTCTTTTCTTAAGGAGACCCTCAGTCTCTGTTAAGGGAAATTAAGAAATTTAGAAACTGACAGCAGTGATTGTTGTGCACCATTGTGAATGTAATTCATGTCACAGAATCGTACACTTAAAACTGGAAAATGTGTTGTTTTATATATTTTGCCACAATTTAAAAAAACAAGTAACTTGAGAACTTCTTGATCATAATTATCCTAAACTTAAGTTAGGCTCCCTTCTCTGCACATTGCAGGGTAATTATTAATGATGTTACTATTCCCAATACCTCAAAAGGAAAGCAGTAGAGCAAATATTCAAATTTAGCTTAGCTGGGCTGGCAACATAATGTTGTTGTTGTTGTTATGTGCCATGGAATCGGTTCCAACTCACAGCGACCCTGCACAGAGTTCCCGAGGCCGTAAATCTTTATCGGAGCAGAACGCCTCCTCTTTTCTCCCGCGGAACAGCTGGTAGTTTCGAACCACTGACCTTGCGGCCTGCAGCCCGATTCGTAACCACTACGCTACCAGAGCTCCTTAGGGTTTTCTTTCTTCTATTTTTTGAAATCTCACAGTAAGATAAGAAAGGACCATCCACTAATCAGCTTACTTACTTGACTGTAGCAAAAATATTTTGTAATTGCCCAGAAACAAAGATAACTAAGACTATTTTGGAGGTATGTCTTTGCACTTGATATTGACTTCATTTTTATACTTACCAACAACAAAAGGTAATTTTTATTAAGGGCCACATCATTCTTTCTTTAATGTCATGCTAAAATAACAAATTATCTGTGCCTGGGTGTCACCATAAAGTCCTTGGCTATCCTTATATTTTAATAAGAAATTAAGTTTGACAATTTAATATAAATTGCACTTAAATCTGGTATAATTATAATGTAGAATTCTGCGGACTTTATTTCAGATTCTGTGATACATTTTTAAATGGCTGCTGTAAAGAAAATGTTCTAAAAAATTAAGCAACAATCAATCACCAAGATAAACTCTGTTCTGGATATTAAGATCCACATAAATTAAGAAAAAAGTTGCCTTTAAATGCTGCTTACAATGTATATCAAAATTTAATTACTCCCAGCAATTCTACTGTATGTACCTAAAGATTTGAAAGCAGGGAGTCAAACAGATACTTGTACACCAATGTTCACTGCAACACCATTACAACAGCCAAAATGAATGGAACAAAACCAGTGTCCACCAACAGATGAATGGATTAAAAAAAAATGTGGTCCATGCATACAATATAAATGTTATATACATACAATAGCAGTATTATTCAATCAAAGAGAAATTCATTTCTGAAACATGCCATGTATGACCTGGATAAGCCTTAAAAATAAATAAGTCAGTCATAAAAGTTGTAAGATCACTTAAATGAAATACCAAAAGTAGGCAAATGCACAGAGACAGAAATAGATTAGATTAGTAGTTAGCAGGGATTGGGAATGCAGGGATAGCATGTGAAGGTACTGCACAACGGGTACAGGATTTCTATTGGGGTGATGAAAACGTTTTGGAAACAGATGGTGGTGATCGTTGCACACCAATGTGAACGTAATTAATGTCACTGATTTGTAATTATAATGGCAAATTTTATATATTTTACCATAATAAAATCTTTTTAAAACTAAATTACCGGAAAACAAACAAGATGGTGGATCGGGTGGACATGTAGTAAAGAGCTCCGCCAACAACACAGAATACCCGACCAAACAGGCTCAGGGGATGGTCCCAGAACTCTGAACCGCATATAAAGGAATACTTAGAAGGTTGGAAGGCTCACAGTTGGGGGAATTTGTGGCAGAAGCAAGAAATCCATTGCTTTCTAGTCCAGGATGCTTGGCTGATCCAGAAGCTGCCATCTTGGGTGAGACCACATAGGGGAAGGATCGGAGCAGCCACAGATGCCTGGCAGAACTGCTAAGATAAAGGTGTGGATGTTCTTTTCTTTTGGTAGCTGTTTATTGGGCCTTTGCTGTCTGCACACCTCCATTCTGGTGACTATAGGGGTGCCTGAGCTAGTGGGCACCCCAGCCCCACCCTCGGAGGGTTCTACTACACATGCGCACAGAGCTCCTCAAAATTTAAAAAGACAGTTTCCAATTAAAACCAAATGGCCACAGCC